AGGAACGGGGAACTATATATACCCGGGCACACGTGTGTGCCTGTCTGTGTGTGTGCGCGCGCATGTGACACGGCGCGGACGGCTCCGCGCTGCTGCCTCCCCCATGTGCACGGCCGCCCCCTGGGGCCCGGGATTGGACGCCCCTTCCCACTGCTCTTGTCCCCCAAGCCTGATGGGACCGCTCGAGTGGGCGAGGGAGGGACTTAGGATTCTTGCCTCGCCGACAGTGCCCCCTCCTCCGCCCCCATTTCTTCAACCTTCCCGCCGTTTTAACTCTTTGCGCTCCTGCTTGTCAGGTTGCTTGACCACCAGGGTTCTGCTCCTGACTTAATGCCTCAGATTTGTTTCCCGACAGAGAGAGTGGTGCGAATGGAACTCAAGGTCTCTGCCTGCCACTCTCTGCTGGTTTCCATGGGTTTGGGGTGCAGGAGGGGCTGGCCCACGGCTGGGGGGGCTATTTTTAGCGGCAGTGGCTGTTCGGGTGCAGAGATGAGATGAGTAACCAGCTCCCATGCGGTGGAGAGAGGAGGCGGCGTCTTTCATGAAGCTTTTGTGCGACTCTGGAGGAGAGCTGCCTTCCCCAAGCTCAGAAAGGGTGACCCCTACACCCTTAACTCCTCACCTTCTCCGTGCTCCAGCCCGGGGCGCCTAGTCAGTCTGCGCCACCCCAGTGGCCCCACCACTCTCATCTAGAGGTTTGTTCTTGGGCAACCAAGGAGCCCTGCCCCCACTGCAGGCTTTCACCCCCAAGTCAGGATTTTGGGGTTACATTGTTCTGTGCCCACACAGCTCTGCCCGGCTTTGTGGAGGACAGAGCAGAGTGCCAACGCACTTGCACCCTTACAGAGGGGGATGGAGGAGGAACGGTGTGTGCTGCCTTGGCAAAACGATCCCCTAGCAACTGAAATGATAAAAGTGGCCCGTATTTCCCAGTGAAGAGCTCCCCTCTCCCCCCTCCCCCCCAATGCCTAGTTCACTCAGCCCCCACCTGAAGTGGCGCTCAAGATGCTCGCCTTTTGGGCTTATTCTGTCCTGGGGGCTGTTGCTTACATCTACATGACCCCTCCCCCTAAGCCTATACCAGGTGTCCCTTGATTCACCATGGCAATGTTAGTGGCAGCACAGCCCACGCCAACCCTTCCATGCAGAGACTTAGCAACCATGCCTGGCAACCATGGCAGCAGCTTCAGCAGAGAGGGAGGGGAACGGAGAGGGAAGAGTGTGCATGGCAATGGCTCCTCAGAAGAGGGGGTAATTTGCCTCTCCTGAGAAGAGTAGGAAGAACAGAAGCCTGCGAAGCCTTCCAGATTTTATCCCTTGTCTTGCCCTTAGCACCATCTTCTCACTCTTAGAGTGATGGCTTGGGCTTCAGGGGGCAATGGGAGAAGCAAGAGATCCCAATTTGTGTTCCACTAAAGTACATGGAGCCCTTTGGGTACAGACCCTTCCTGGAGGGCATAGGGGCCAGAGGGGTTGTTGTAGGGCCGAGACTGACTTATTGAGAAACAGCACAACAAAACCCAGGCCTCTGCTCCTTATCGTGGCCCTTCAGAGAACCCAGACATCCCTGCCCCGTCCACTGCCCCCTTGTACCTACCAGCCGCACTGATGACTCTTTGCTTGAAGGTGCTTGCCTCCAACCTGGATGCCACTGGAGTCCTAAGGCTTTTTAAAGCCCTTGGCTCCTCCTTCATGAGGGAATGTGACATAAAGGGACATCTGTCCTTCCTACCATGTTCCCTACCCCCACACACATACTCTAATAACTTGGAAGCGTTCCTCCCCCACGCTTGGAAATGTGCTGCCAGAGCTGTGAAGAGGTGGATGCAGCAGCAGAGCCCTGACAGGCCTTGATGCTCCTCCTGCATCCTGTCAGGAATCCTGGCTTGGAGGAACCAGGATGGTGTGACTAGAGGTTCATCAGAGGCTTAGGCAGTGGGATAGGGGCAAGAAATTTCTTGGCAATGGCTTCTGCCATGGATGGGAGTTGTCTCTGCATGGCAGTGACGAGATGGCTCATATCCCCCAGTCTAGCAGTCCTTGTGGTGTTTGGTGGCGATTACTATTTTAGTCCACATGGTTTCCACACAGGGAATGGGTCTGATGGGGTGACCATCATCCTGCTGTTCCCCCACCCCCTACTCTCTAGCTCATTCTCACCACGAAGAAAGGCAAGGGATTTGTAGGTTCAAAGGTAGTGCCAGCTCAGCAAAATCCAAACAACCTTCCCTAGGAAAAGTGGATGATGGTGGCAGGCTCTGCCTAATGAAGACCTTCAGGTCTGTCTACTCTTTGGAGACCTAACACCATTATAGGATATTCCATGGGTCCCGGCTATGGTCCTGGCAGACGGGAAAGTGAGATAATAAGGGGAGCCACGGGAACAGAGTGGGGAACAGTTGTGAAATGAGAATCAGAGGTAGTGAGTCTACTGTCGTGGTAAGGAGCATAATCCCTGGAGCCAGACCAGGTTCAAGTCCTAACTCTACTTTTTCCTAGCTGTGTGGCCTGGGGTTAGTTACTTAGTATCTCTGTGTCTCCGTTTCTTTTGTTTTTTGTTTTAATCTATAACACTGGAATAGTATGTACTGTTGTCCTGAGAATTAAATTAGTTAATATATGCAAAGCACTGAGAAGGATGTCTGATACACAACTGTGTGTGTGCTTGTGTGTGTGTACATGTGGTCTTGTTGTTGTGACTAATAATGAGTTGAAGAAGCCATAAAAGTAAGAAGGTTGGGGCAGTTATGTCTATCAACAGCAAAAATCAAACACTGCAATACCACAAAGAGATTCTTGTCATTTAATTAGGTTTGCTATGAAAAACAATAATCTTAGCTAACCACTGCCCTCCTCCTCCACCTAACCCCCATCTCCCTTCACATACACACAGCACAGGAAGCCAAAGTCCACAACCTTCCCCACTTACATCGTAGGAAGAAATGTCACTAAATGGACTTGGCCTCCTCCATATAGCATGAAACAGGCTGAATAAAAAGATCTTTATGAATCTCTTGTTGTGCTATTATCTTAGGGCAGAGCCAGGGCAGAGATGGAGGCAAAGGCAGGCTGAGGTCTGGGCTCCTTGGAGATCAGAATCCGCCTGAGTGGCACACCCCTAGTTCACCCAGAAAGGGGGCTATATCCAAGAGGACAGGAGCTAGGATTGGCTAAGCTGAATTTTCAAGTGTATGTGTGAGGGTAAGTGCAGCTATAAATCCATTCTCCTTCCTCCCCCATGCCTCCTCTAGTTCCCAGATATAAGGGTCAAGGGGCTCCTGAGCAGGGAACAGAGTCATAATTCTCCTAAGTTTCATCTGATTCCCCAGAGCTTCAGCAGGCAGTGAGTGGAGCACATTCCCTACTGCTGTCTGGCCCCTTTCTCCAGCTCAGGGCTGCTTCTCTCCACCTGTGAGCACCAGGGCCTGCAGGATGTCAGACAGTGACACAATTCCCTTGACCACATCATTCTCATCCACCACTACAAGTCGGTGAACCTGGCATGGAGCAACAAGGGAGAAAGGGACTGTTTAGCATCAGCCTCAGGGTAAGCCCTCAGCCCCTACCCTACTTGCCAAACCCTCTCAAGGCTGTATCCCCAGCTCCTTTAGGGTCGCTGGTCTCCCTACCTCTGCTTCCACTAGCCTGTTGATGATGGTCTCCAGAGTCTCATGCAGGTAGCACTTGAGAACACCCTCAAAGTAGTGTGATCGATGTTGCAGGGCTTTAGTCACAGATACATCTAGGTTGTTGTAGGTCTTTTCTGCTGCCAGATTCTGGGGAGAGAGAGGAAGGAGCTTGCACGGAAGCAAGAGAGCCAGCTGCCAAACCCTGAACCCATCCAACATCACCAGAAGGATTTAGGGCAACTGTCAGCCATGCCCACAAGCCACACCCAGCTCATTCAATTCCTTTTCAAATAGGAATTGAAAGCTCAGAAGCTTCCAAGATCCTCAGGTCACAGAAGAGACTCCCTTCTCCCTCTCCACATTCAATGCCCCTTCTACCCCTCCCCTGACCTCCCAGCCCCTCCACAATCACTCACGATAACATCAAACTTGGAGTAGATGTCCACCACACGCCCTAGAGAGAGAGAAGCAGCTCAGCAAGGAAAATCTGGCATCCCAGGCTCCCCCTATCCACAGAATCATCCTCCTGGCTGAGGGGAAACCAGATTTTCCCAGAGCCAACTGGCTTCCCTGGATCTTCCCTCCCTTTCCTTCTGCTCAATCTCTTACCTTTCTCATCCACCACTGGCAGGGCAGAGACTCGATGCTGTACAAAGATGCCCAAAGCCACGTAGACAGGGGTGGTAGTGCGGACCATAGCAATATTGGCATAGGTGCCAATCTGTAGCTCTTCCAGAGACTTAGACATGAAATCTGGCTTGGGGAACTCAGTGATCTGAGGAAAGAACCATCAGTTTGACTTTCTTTTCTTTTTTTTTTTTGAGTTGGAGTCTCCCTCTGTCACCCAGATTGGAATGCAGTGGTACGCTCCCGGCCACTGCAGCCTTGACCTGCTGGGCTCAGGCGATCCTTCCGCCTCAGCTTTCTAAGTAGCTGGCTACAGGTGCGCGCTATCACGCCCAGCTAATTTCTGATTTATTGTAGAGATGAGGTCTCGCCAAGTTGCCCAGGCGGGTCTCGAACTCACGGGCTCAGGCAATCCACT